TTAATGTATTCATTTACGATCTATGTTTTATTCTATTTATATGTCGAGCATCAATGAGACAATCTATTCTTTGTTGGATGACTTTGAAGATTTTTTCTTGCTGACACTTTTCAAGGAAACTCTGGATTACAATTGCTTTCATTTAGGATATAGTAGTCAAGTATGCATAGTTTTGAATGGAAACTGTCACTTTGAAATTTTTATAGTAAACTAAGACTAGTCAAAATTTGGAATTATCATAATTTTCAGCTACAGTTATAATATCAACGAGCGTCATAACTATGAATCGTACTTATCACCTACAAAATGAATTATAACTATCAATCGTAGTTATAACTTTTCATCATAATTATAGTCGTGAACTTTAGAATTGTCATTAGTTTCATTAGAAACACTAATCAACATTATCTTTAACATTGTTCATCATTTCAGACTAACTAAAACTATTAGTCATATCCGTGTCATAAATAAGAGAGGTTTCTTCAGACATCAACGTCATATCAGTTGCTTGTTCCCCTGAGTAATGTAACAAAAGGGACTTTCTTCGAGTTTGTCTTACAAAAGATAATGGTCGCATCTTCTTCTATTCTTTCAATCTTCCCTTTCCTTTGCGCACTCGTCATCTTGATTTCTTTATTGTCCTGTTTCTCCTCTTCGCTCGTCGGCATATCAACAAGGAGAAACGAGAGAAAAGTAGAATACAATACGTGCTGATATAATTAGTAGTGTGCGTATAAAAGTGGATAGAGAATTACCAGATGCACCGATTTCGTATTAGAATACAACACATGTAACTATACAAGATAGAATCTTATCTTAATTTCCTCACAATAGATGTTAAAGATGATTGTTGTTTCAAATAATTCAAATTAGAATTATATAAAGTGATTTCTTTTCTCAGATATTTTTCTCAGCTGTTCGCAACTGGAAGATAATCATTGATTTTACAATGTATAATATATATTATCTTACACCTATGCTCAAGCTTGATGTAGCAATAGACGAAAATATAGATTACAAATGAATATATCAAAAACCACTCAAAGAAGAATTCTGAAATATTGCTTTTTTGAAGTGAAAGACGTTTGAAATACTTGTATGTTCATCTATTCTACCGAGTATGTCAATAAATCAAAATGATTATCATTTCAACTTAATTAAATCTGATCAATAAATAAAGAACTTGAAAGTTATAACTACAGTTGAGAGTTATAACTACGGTTGAGAGTTATACCATTTTAACTTTTTGCCGTTTTTCTCAACTATCAATTTTTTGGAAATTAGTTTTAACTCCTACACTGGTTCTAGATTCAGGTTACACCCACACGTTTACGTTCACCCTATAGGATAATTTAGTATTCGTTAAGTTTTTTTTTTTCTTCATTTATTTTTTAATCACAACTTTTTTTTGCTATAAATTTTGCTTTTCATTCTAACTTAACCTGCATCATTATATTTTTTTTGCACTTTATTTTTCAAAAAAAGATCTTCAAAAATTGACTTAAATTAGTTCTTTTAGTTCATCGCTCTTGTTGATTTAGAAATATACGCCATCTCTCGTTCTATGAGAGTCATAGATAAAAAAAATTAGCCAATAATTTTTTTGTTTTCTTGCCTCGTATTCATACGACCAGTAGAATGGGTTGTTGTCATTGATCTGAAAAAGTATCCATTCTGGAAACTTAGTTATCTATTGTAGCCTAAATTTGAATTAAAAAAATGATTTTGTCAACAAAAACATTCTTTCCTAATAAAAAAAATTCTAATTTGACCAAAGATCTGGAAAGCAAATAGATTTCACTCTTATAAATTTTAATTAGATACTCGTGCAAATCTATGCCAAATAAATTTCAATCATATAATCAATAAAATCTTCAGCAAACAGATTCTTCAACATGACCTTTTTCCCTCGACTGAAGGGAGGGTCATATGAAAAAAATGCATCCGTCCGTCCGTCTGTGTCAGGGTCAAAGGTCAAAAAAACATCCGTTTATATTTGTGGAGGCCTTTTGCCCCTTATTGTAAGGGCAACATCTACTCATGTTCGGGTCCACCCTAGGGTTATCGAGGATGCTCTATCGATTGAGGGGTATATGTAGGGGTCTCCACCCATCCCATCATGGAGAAATAGGATCCGGTCATTTGATTGGTCCAAAAATAGGCCAATCAGATTTCAGGAGGCCTTTTCTTTCTTATTATTAGGACAAGTGCTAGTCATGTTTGGGCCAATCATAGGATTATCGATGATGCTCTATCGATTGATGGGTATATGTGTGGGTGCCCATGCCTCCCTTCATTGAGATATAGAAGCCCGAGGCCCCATAGGTTGGTTAAAATTGACGAATCAGATTTCAGGAGGCCTTTTCTCCCTTATTGTAAGGGCAACACATAGGCATGTTCGGGCCGATCGTAGAGTTATGGAGGATCCTCCATCGATGAATGGGTATGTGTGGGGATCCCAGTGGATCCTCTCGTTGAGGTAGTGAAACTCGGGTTCCCTATTGGCTGGTTAAAGTCGACCAATCAAATTTCATGAGGCCTTTTTTCTCTTATTGTAAGGGAAACACATAGGCATGTTCGGGCCGATCCTAGGATTATCGAGGATGCTCAATCGATTGATGGGTATATGTAGGGGTCCTCGCATGACTCTTCATGGAGACACTGAAGTCAGATAGTCAAAATTTTGAAATGAGTTTCTTTGGTCAAGGAAAAAGGTTCTTGAGAAAATAACGATATTTCATAAAGGTTAACGAAAGCAAGTCGAGGTCAGGGGATCCGAATCTGAAGTCAGATTTTCAAAATCTTTTCGTCGCATTCGAAGTTGAATCGAATATTCATCAAACTGAGGCAAGCCTGTAACACATCAATTTTGTGAATAAAAATGGCCGGTGTTCTTAACGACTTAGAATAGCAACGATTTTTGGACAGAATTCGCTGTGTCACATATCGTGAGATACGGGATGAAATGATTGCAAGAACAGAAGACTCATTTATCACTCACCAATGGATTTCCGAAAAACTACACCGTGACGAAAGTTGGGTACAACGAACTTGGAATAAAACTACTGAAGAATGTTATACACAATTTGGAAGTGGTCGACCAAAGATATTCTCTTAGAAGAGCAGAAACATTATGGCTTCTGCAAATGGTATCAGGGGCAGCAGCTCACGAAAAGTTGCAAGAGAAATTTTGGAGAAAACAGGACGGCGCGAAAGTGATGAAACTGTTCGTCGCGAACGTCATCGGCAAGGGTTAAAACCTTTCCATGTGATTGCAAAGCCACTGAAGACAAATACACATATTGAAGATCGGAAATGGCCTGTAGATTTTGTTGCTGATTGGACTGTAGAAGATTTTCTGCATATCGCACCGTCGGATGAGTTTTATGTTTACGTGATCAGAAAACCGAACCACCAAAATGATAGAATTTGGGCAAAAAATATCGAAGACATTAGCAATGAGGAAAGATATCGTGAAATGGTTCAGGACGCAAGATGTGTCGGAATATTTGTGATGTTCACCGTAAAGAAACTCATGTGGGTATTGAAGGAACAGGGACAATCTTGGGATGGAGTCTATTTTCGTGAAATTATTCTTCAACAACATGTAATTCCATTTCTTCGAGATCTAAACAATGTTCTCGATACAAATGAAGCCATATTTCTTCACGACAAGGCACCCTGCATGCAAGCTAATGCAACACAACACCTTTTAGAAGATGAGGGTGTCAAGTTCTGGGGTAATTCAATTTGGCCCGGTAACAGTCCCTACATGAACCCTGCAGAGAACATCGGTGCCATTATCAAAGACAAAGTTGAAGAACTGATGGCAAGTGAAGATCGTTAAAACAAATACAGTTATGATGTTCTCAAAACTAACATTGAGAATACACTTAGGGATGTTGAAGATGACACAGAGTTTTTTTTTTGATTTACTGTGCTCTATGAGAAAAAGATTTGATGCTCTCAAAGCTGTTAGAGGGGGTCATACAATGTTCTGAACCTTTCTCATAATCACTTATTCATAAAAAATTTATATTTCTAATAAACTGAAAACTCTATGATCCACAATTTAAATCAATGAATGGTATGATGATATTTTGATAGACTCTGTATTGTGTAATCCATAACATTTTAATATGTTGTGCAAGGTATTTCATTAATTGCTTAAGCAACATTTACTCTAATTGCACCGATAGATGCAGCTTTTGATGGGTTTTAATCTGGTATAAAAACTTTCTGATATTATCTGTTATTTAGGTTATAGAGAGGGGGAGGCAAAGGTTATGTGGCACCCTGTATATAAAACGCGACTATTCATTGGAACGCGTTCAAACGCAACTCTGTTGATACAAAAATGAAATATGCTCAAATGAGAAATGCGTTTAGACGCGTTTGCCTATTTAAACCTACCTAGATGCATCTATATCGATCCAAAAAAGAAGCACATTCAAATCTGAAACGCGTTTAGATGCGCTTGTCTCGTTCAAACCCATCTAGATGCATCTATAAACTGCGTTTGGACGTGGTTCTCTGTTGTTTTCTTTGACAGCCGTGTTTAAACGCATCCAAAAACGCGTTTAGACACATTATCACTGCGTTTCGAAGTTACATGGATAGCGATTTAGTCGTTTTCTTGGGCATATTTTTCTTTAAATGTCATCCTATTATACCATTTGCTAATGCAATTTGGCATTGTTTTGTTCTTTTTTTTCAGTGTCGCTATTCATTACTATTCAATCTATAATCATCTTCTTGCACTATCATTATTTCAGGACGAATTTAATTATAAAAGATAATCATTTTTCTATTCTAATTCCTTTATGTCGTTCTTTTTTTTTTTTTTTTGTATTTTTTATCGTTATTGTTTAACTCTTTGAGTCCTGGCGACTCCTTAAGGAATTGCCCCTATTTTTCTTTTTAACATTAATGTATAGAATTACACTGATTTCACAATTCAATAGAGGTGAGCAAAACCTTCAAATTGATATGTTATATTACTATTTTTTACATTCATATATCTCTTCAATCTTCTTTTCTGTGATGTACTGACATTCGACATTGGAATTTTCTTTTCATCCTATTATGCGTCTATTATTAGACTGTCCTATGTTGTCATCTTTGCCTTTTCTTTTCTATGATATATTTCTTTCGTTCGGTGGGATAGGTCATCATGTCAGAATTCTTTGTATTCTCATAAAAACATATTTCATTTTCTTTAAAATACGAAATACAAATAAAATAAAAAAAGATTTTTCAATTTTTCGAAAAGAAGTCGGGACTTAAAAGGTTAATTTCTTTTTCCTACTATGCACGTCAATGTTTTTTATTTCTTTTCAGTCATTGTGTGAAAGTCTGAAACATTTCTTACCCAAAATAATAACAAAAGAATATATTTTTTTGATGCAGAGAATATTACTTTGTAAATAATTTCTTTATTTTGTTTATCTAAAGCAAAGTTTTTAGAACACAAAAAAAAAGGTTCATACGTTTTATAAGACTAAGTTTTCGCAAGGCATAAATTAATACTAATGAATAAATGCTTAAGAGTTAACATAAGCATACTCACATAATTTAAAATAAGAATGAATATAATTGTATGTAAATCAATCTATTTCTGTTCATATTTTATTTTAATAATAATTGACAATATTCAAGAAATTTGCGCATGAGGAAAATAATCTTTTAAATGATCAGGAAACTTTGATTTCTCGAGAAAAATTACAGAATTCATTTTTGCACAATTACTTCGTGTTGTGATTCTTCGAAAATTGCGTGTCACTTTTTTCACTAGTCGATAATTCATACTAACACGAACATTATTTGGTAAACATGTTTTGTTATCAAATAAAAATTGTTCGTGATAATCTTTGTGAGCTTCAGAAATATCAAGTTTCAAAAGATAAGGATATTGAATGATTGATAAATTTTGATTTTGATTTTTTGATTTTCTTAATTGTTTATTATTTTGTGGTTTTTGATTAATTAAAGTTAATTTTTCCAAGAATAGAAATGATTGAAAAATTTGAAAAAAAAATTCATGTTCAAATGAACGTTCATCAAATAATGATATTTCACGAACGCATTCAAATATTCCACCTGGAAAATTATTTGTTATATTATTGTAATATATCAATTGATATGGATATGAATAAATATGACATTGACTATATTCTTTTTCTTCGAAATAATCAATAGAAGAAATAATTTGTTTATTTTTAAAATCTTTGAATGTTTCTTGAATATATTCATTAGATGGTAAATTAAATTTAGTATAAAAACTAGTTGATGAATGAATATTAAATGTAAATTTATTTAACAATGGCAAATAATTTATAATATTTAACTTCAAATTATTACCATCAATAAGTGTTTTCTTTGTCAAAACTATAAGAGCCAAATCAAGTTTTTCTAAATTCGACATTCGATGTAAAAGTGGTAAAATTAATTCATAATAAAACTCTGTATCGAAATCACAATACAGTTTAAACGATTTTAGATTAGGCAGTTTTTCCTAAACATGATAACAAATGTAATTCATTTAAATAGATTAAAGATTAAGCAAAATATTGTACCTTATTATTGATTATTGAACGCGAAGAAGTAATAAAATCAATATCAACATGAAATGTATGAAGCTGATTGAAACGTCCATCAAGTAAATAAAGGCAATCGCTAAAGTTAACCAAACAAACATATAATTCTAACAGAGTCGAAGAGATAACAGTTGGAGGTGACATATCAAAGGATAAATATTGATACCAAATTGAAGATGGACCAATATTTAATGTTTGTAAATTAGGAAATGTATTAAATATATGAGTAAATAAAACTATATTTTTATCTCGTGTTGGATTTCCTTCTCCACTTGCTTTAATATCGATAACAAGTGATGAAATTTGTTTTTTGTAGGTAGAAGTGAAAAGACGTACATCTACAGTAGAAAAAAATTAGAAAAATTATTGAAAATATTTTATTAAAGCTTATATTTTTCTTTAACTATAAGTATTTATTTTTTTATTTTATTTTTTTTGTAATAACACTGGAATTTAAATGTAATGATCTTGTTCTTTTTAAAACTAGTCAACAAAGTACATTTTATCATAAATGTTATCGTTTATCATAGTCATCAATCTTCATCATCTATTTTATTATATATTTTCTTTCTCATAAAGGTATGCTTAAAAGTTTATTTTGAAAACATAATATCAAGCTTATTTTAATATTTCTTTTTCTACAAACATTTCTATTCTATTCTATGTAAAATAGTCTCTTTGATAATAGTTATAAATTAATTCAAATGAATTCATTTGACATATAGTTATAATGTATTTATCAGCGCAAAAGAATCACAGGCAAATATCTTACCAGAAAATAGATGTACAACATTTTCTAAGTGAATATTATACAAAGCAATTCCAACTAAATTAGGATAATTTGTAGAAAGAATACGTTCCATCGATGACGATTCAATATCAAGCCATTTTACTTTTTGATGAATTTTAGATAATATATGTGAACAAAAACGATCAAGTACTAAATCAGGTAATGGACAAACAAAATATTTTGGAGAATATATTTGCGAAATCAAACGACTTGGTACAAAATTTACGAAAGTCAAACGATTGGTAAAAATGGAGTCATGTACTATTTTATTTAAACGTATATTAACATCTGATAAAGAATAAAGTAGAGTAATATTATGTAATTTTTTAAAAATCATCATAAGAATTTCATCAGGTAAATCATTCAATTGAACAGATGCATTTTCCATGTTCATCTTCACTTGTCTATTTTTTTTCATCGATAAATGTTGATATTTATAGACATAATCATATGTTCTATTTGACCGATGTCGTCAATAACAACAATAATTTTTTTTTCTATACTATGAGAGACCAAATAGACTAGACGAAATAAAACTGAATTAAGGAATGTGATTCGTGTTGCTATGTAAAAAAACACGAATCACATTCCTTAATTCAGTTTTTTTTATCTCGTCTACCCACGGAAAAAAATTCTAACCAATACCGCTGTCAACCGCGATTTTTTGTAAAGACCGCCGGTTTTTCCTTATAAACCGCGATTTGATAAAAAAGACCGCAATTAACCGCGGTTAGTTACACCGCGGTCACAACTTACCGCGGTATGCTCAAACAAGGTAGCGGTTGCTTCTACCGCTGAAAACCGTGGTTCCAGAAGACCTCGGTATGTTCAAAACGAATTGCGGTATCTCAAATCACCATTTTTCACGGTTTTATATTTTGCGAAAGCCTTCTTATAAATCGCGATTTCTGAATACCTTTGAAAGACACGATTAGTCAAACCACAATAATCGCAGTCCGAACCTCGGTTTTTCAACGCCACCTGTTTTTATAATCTGCTACCGCGGTTTTGATAGATGGAGTCGCGGTTCGATAAAATATTGCTTTTTTATTAGACAGAAACTTTCTGATTAATATTACAGTTCGACTCTATAAAGCACTGTTGTTACGACAAAAAGTTTTAAAACGCAATTACAATTACCTGAGGGGACGAATCGTGATATTCGGATTAGAGTTTTCATTTCTGTTAATTTAAAATAAATTGAAATTAACAGTAATTCATTTTTTAATTTTAAACTATGAAGAAAAAAAAAGTAAAATTTATTTCAAATTTCAATTACTGTTAATTTAATTTACTTATAAATAAAAGCTGGCATACCTACAACGAATAGTTCGCGAAAAGTTTTTCAAAGTCTCAAATGAGAAAAGAATTTAAAGCATCTCGCTAACCAGAAACTCACTTTTGGCTCTTCTTTAACAAACTCATTTTGATACCAAGTACGACCCTTTGGTAGATTAGCTCCTGTTTGTCGAAGAAAAATTCTAATACATAGTTTTAGATAAATGTAATGTTGAAATAGAATAGTTTAATTTCTAATTTTAGAAATTACAAAATTAAAATAATTTAACTTAAAAAAAACTAAATTTATTATAATAAACATTTATTTTAAATTTAAATTACTCAACTTAATTTAATGTATGAGGAAATATAAATAGACACAATTCGTTGCAATTAATGCAAATAATTATTTAAAAATATAACAATAGCACAGAAAAATTTAAAGATTTTAAAGAAATCCTCTACTTTGTTGTTTACACACTATTATCTTAGACTTTTTAATTTAAATCAGAAAGAGTATAGTATTTGATGCTTCTATGAACATCGCCATATGGTTCAATGGAATTATGGAACCGTGATTATAAGGTAAGGAGTTCGAATCTCACTTGAAGCAGAAAAATTTATATGATCGGTGGTATTATACAGGTTGACCGCGGTATTCGATCATCGTAATGAGACCGAAGCTGCACCGCGATCTCAGCTAGTTAACAACTAGGATGGATGTCATTTTTTTCAAAAACCGTTCAAAACCGCGGTTTCTTCAAACCGCGATTTCAGACGGTGTGTATAAACCTAATAAACGGTCTGACTCCCGCGGTTCGTTTTAACCGGTCAGAAATGCGACTCTTTAAACCGCGATTAGTAGCGGTATTTGTTGAAAAATTTTTCCGTGGGTATTCTGATTGGAGCCTTAATAGACAATGAATACATTTATGGCTAATAGAATGATATTTTTTTCGTTGTTTGTTCAACGTATACGATTTAATATGTGGATAAAGACTTATAGTCTACAGTGGAATTAGAACGAATCATCAAACCCATGTCAAATGATGAACACCACCAGCGCTTCTAATGGCAGGTGTACCCAGCAGAAGTAAAATGTACGGGACACCTGCTATTACAAAAACACACGCTGCGGTACACTTGCTTAAAAAATTAGAGTGTACAAGGCACACTTTACCAAGTGAATATACACTTTGTTTTTTTACATATTGAGGTATTTTTATTCTTACACATTTGCTCTGAAATCATCGATAATAGTGGCATCTTTTAGTCCTCTCTGTGGACTAAAAAAAAGGAAAAAAATATGAACTTGATTTATTTTTCGTGTTTTTCTAGTAAATGAACCTTTGTTTGAATACATTTTGTACACTTACCATTTAAAAATAAAGTGTACGCATACATTTTGTTTTCAGAAAATAGAGTGTACAGTACATTGTATTTTAGATTTCCATTAGAAACGCTGCACCACTTCAATGCACTAGGTAGCACCATATGTCATGCCACTTTTCCCAGCATTCTCCTTAATACTGAACGTTGTTGGATGAGAGATATATCTTTTCATGAAGTTAGATTTTTTGACCTCAATCTCGTTTCCGAGAAAATGATATTTAATGAGAACACTAGTGAGTAATGACAGTTGTCGATCAATAGCAACCACCCATTGACCACCTGTGTTTATATTGGTCGTAGTATTTCGATAGTTTTATGTTTTAGTCACTTTTCTGAGGAAAACTAAAAGTACAGTTTGATAGAGAAAAATTTTCTGTATCGACTAGTATCAATTGTATATCTGTTCTCTTAATTTTTTATTCAAAGTGCATTTGATATTGATTAGCTTAACTCGCTATGTTTTATCTACCCTGACCACGTACTATTAGAAAATCTTTTTATTTTTTATATTAAATGTATAATATATAGTGGTAGACAACTATGATTTTATTCATGTTTGCAAGAATTTATATTTTGAAATTGAAATTTTAATTTTAAATTTCAATTAAATACTTTAAGAGATGAAATTTAATATTTAGTGATATTGACTTTATATTTTGAATTTGAATGAAGTATTTGTAAATAAATAGAAAAAAAAGTGACACAAACAATTTCTAATCATCGTCAAAATGAAGCTACATTCTTATTATCATCCGTTGCCTTCTCTGACAGAATCATGTGAAAAAAAAAACGTTTTTGTATGTTTGCATTTACAATTATTAGTACTTATTGTTATAGAAGTATGATATTCAATTATGACAATTGCTTTTCATATATTTGCATTGAAAGAAAACTTTACACTACTATTGTGACTCAATCGTTTTCGTTATTTCTATAGTTATTATTGGACCCGATCAATCTTCTATTATTGATAATGATAATGTTTTTTTTTTCTTCCTCATTCATAAATAATTCACATTTGTTTAATATCATTTACACTACGTAATTGATTTAATTCATTTTTGATTTCAAAATTGACGTGAAATACGTGATGAATATGTTGTTGAATTTAATGATGAATTATTTAAACGATATTCTTCATCATGATCAGTATAAACTTTGAAAACAAACACATCAATGTAGCAAAGGTTTCCGTTCATATGAAATTTTTCTGTTAATTAATTTTATTTTTGTTGATATTAGTTCTCTTGCAACCGGGGGACAACTTATGTTGGCCATGATCATTGTCATGGTGAATGGCTTTTTCATGGTTTGTTTGTTTTATTTTGAAAAAAATTAATATTTATCAAAGATTATGTTAAATGATCGGAAACATTTCAATGCCGTTAAAAAGAATACACAAGATTTATTTAGTTTATACATTAGCAGGCTTCGTAGTCGTCCTATGTTTCCTATATTTTCTATATATTTAGAAATAGTCCTATAATGTCCTCTTTTTCAAGTTTTTTTCCTATATTTCTTATATATTTTCGAAAAAGTAAAGATCATTCTGAAGGGAATCATATTTCAGTCAGAAAAGATACACATTCTTCTGTCTGTATTATCATTAGCTTGCACAATAAGGCTGATAGCAGGTAGTGGCAGTATAATATTAATTGATGTGATGATAAAAGAAGTAAAGTTATAAGGAGCGATCGAAAGTTACAGAGGTCTTGATGATAGTGAACCACGATGTCAAACTTTTTGGATCTGAAACGCGGCTCCGACTCCAAAAATTTCCCAAAAAATTTTTCTTCAAATACAAACAAAAAATTTTTGACTCTCACCCCGAGTTGTTTTTGCATTTTGGCGACATTCATTTCATTTTCACGTGTAAAATTATCACAGATGAATCATTAAACGAATTAATAAAAAGTGAACATCTTATAACGGCTGGGGTAGAGGAAGTTGCCGGCTTTTGATAGGCTGTTTTCTTAAGGTAGACTGGATGAAAAAGTTTCGTTTTGATGTTAAAAGTTAGAGAATTTTGTGCAGATCTTAATATGTTCCTTACAAAATGAGCATTTGTACTTCTCTTATAGTATTAAAAGTGCTGAACACCACAAAAATATCATTTGCTCAGCATTTTATTAGAATAAAATGTCATTTTTCTTTGTTAAATAATTTTGCATGTACTATCCAAATGCAGTACTAAAAACTGCAGAAAAGTATGTTTTTAAGACACAGTAGCAACTTTACAGATAAAAGTTCATCATTCGAAAAACTACTTGCAAAAAATACCTATATTGTCCATTTGTGGCACCTTTTTGTGTCAAGAAGTAGATTTCAGCCTCATCACTAGGTTAGAAAGGCAATTCAGCTCATATAATGAAGAGTATTTTGTAGAGCTTGCAATTCGACATCTGTTGATATAAAAAGAATATGTTTTTGTAAATCCAAGTTTTGAGAGAATTGCCAACGAAAAGTACGATTCCGTTGACCGAGGGTATTTTCTTGATGTATTGCGTTTTTTAAAGCAGAAACAACTAAAGGTATAAAATTCAACACACCACTAGATACATCGAAAAATTCTGCGTCGCTTAGTATCAGGAAGAAATTTTTGAACTAAAACTAGCTGAACAAGAATTGATTTTCAAAAGTTTCTGATTTTGTCGTTGAGCAGTTGGTTTTTTGTGATATTCCGTACCTTTAATACCACAAGAGAAGGACAAATGCTCATTTTGTAAAGAGCATATCAATAAGATGCGTACAAAATTCTCTATCGTCTAACTTCAGTACGAAACTTTCTCGTTCAGTCTAATTTACGAAAAAATTGGAAGTCGTTCTTATGAGACTTCTTTACTATATTTTTATTTTTTTTGAAAGAATATGAAGTGATATAATTCAATACGAGTGTCATACAGATTATAGTTCTGTCTTAACAAGGAACATTTTACTTAATGAGATATTTTTTGTCGATTCTCATTCCGTTCCACGTCTTAAATAAGTCGAATTGTTTTTGAATAATCTTTTACCTAGAAATCAATAACTATTTTGAATTAGATGATGAAGCCCTGCAGTTGCAAAAAAAAATAGAATTGGAATCGAAAACTTTTTACTGATCTCTGAGTAATTGTTTAAGTGTGAGTGATTTTATGCTAGATTGGTTATGATACGATGGCATAGTGTTCAGCTTTAGTGGTAAAATCTACGTATTTCTTACGCCTGGATAGAGCGTAGAGTCAGAAGTGGCCAACGGTTTAATAAAGTCGTACTAGAGCAGATTCTTAAAATCAATTTTATTTTTTTCATCCTGCTTTACTTTTGTATATTTTGTGCCATGATATTACTACTTAGATTATGAAAACTTGGTTTTATTAAAATGAATCATTCTTCGTCAATCAAAAGAAAAGACTATACAGCTGATTAAAAGTCATAATTTCCTTCTTCTTTATTTTTTTTTCATTTTTACTAAGTGAAACCGAACCAGTGGTTCCGGGTATATTCTTTGAGTTAAAATACCTCATCGTATTTGCTTGATAAATTAGACAATAATTCATTTATTTAATTGACATGAGAAGTTTATTAATTTAGGATTGTTTATACAATCATTCAATGAGAAAAAAAAAAGTTACAAAGAGTATTAAGATAAAATAAGACATAAAATTTTCCCAGAGAATAAAAAAAAAGGAAAAGAATTGGACGGATTTGAACAAGCACAAATATAACTACCTGAGAAACAATGAACAAAAAGAATACTTTTTTTTCTTATTTATTATTTGTTGGATTTGTTTTCTCGATAATAATATAGCCATGTTGATCTTTGATTTTAATATTTCCATTTGCATAAACGTATTTCTTGTTCATCTGTATTAAATACTGTTAATATTGAATCATTTGGAAATAATTTTCTTTTATATATATTTATATGAACTTTTTTTGTTTGATTTGGATGTTGAATAATTTTTCTTCATTTGGTTTTAATGATATTATTATTCCATCAGTTAAATAAATATTTTTTGTTTTATCAGGTAATATATGTTCTTGTTTTTCATCAGATAAATGTTTTTCAATTTGTTCATTTGGAAATTCATATATAGGTGTACCATCGAAATATTCGTTTTCAGTTGTATTTGCACTAGCATATTTATATATAGAATAACCATCGGAAAATTTTTCTTTATAATCACCATTATAGAATTGAACACAGATTTGTTTACCATCGAAACTTGTATATTGTTTTGAACTATTTGAAAATATAATTTGTTTTGATAGATCAGATTTAATATGTTCAATATGTCCATCATTATGACGAATTTCTTCAATAATTGAATCATTTGATAATATTGAAATATTTTCTTTAAATGTGATTATTTTTGCTGATAGAATTGAAAGATAAGATGTGAGAAGAATTGAATTATGATTCGTTATTGTTAATGATTGTCGTTTAGTTGTTGGTTGATCAATAAGTGATAATGTTTGTTGATGTCGTTTGAGAAATGTCGTTGCTGATGTTGATGTACTTCTAGCCATAGTTAATAATGATTTATAATCGAGAGTAGTTGTAAGATCACATTCATCATCGTTAGTTTAGGACTTTGGATAGTCAGATTTGACAAGAGCTGATAAAAATCTAAGTAGAAAAATAGATTTTTGTATAGGAAAGTTAGATAATCTTCAATCCTCACAAATTCATGTCATTAGATTTGGTTCCCTGAAGAACTTTTGAAAATAGATGTAGTCATGAAAAATTCGTTTTTTTTTAAATAATCTCGCACTGAAAGAGTATGAAACTTGAGATTAGAATTTTCTATCCATCCATCTCACATTGATTTTTCCTCTCCGTTCCACAGGCAAAAGTAGACAGTCAATAGACATTGGAAAACTGATTTATGATGATAAATGTTGATCATTTCTTCGATCAAATCGATGAATATCTTTATCACTTCCTCCATTTCGTGAATCAGCTCTTTCGGAAACAACAATTGGTTGTTCAATTATAGTTGGTATTGGTATTGATTCAATTCTTCCTATTAATTCATTCATTGATGTTGGACGTTTTGTTCTGGATAATGATGAGAATTTTCTTGATGTATCAACATTATTTTTAATTCCATTAACACCGACAACTATTGTTGGTGTTCGTCGTCCATTTGATGTTATTTTTGGCTTTATAGATGATTCAGAATTTCTTATTACCATTGTTTTTGGTAATGATTGAGTTTTTGATGTTATTGATCCAGTATTTTTTGGACGTGGTTTGATTTGTTGAAGTTCTACAAGTGATTTTCTTGTTATGGATAATGATGATGTATCTTCTTGCAGTTGTTGTTCAGAAACTGTTTGTAATTGATGCATAAGATCAAGTTGTTTACGTTCGATAATTTCTTTTTCTTGTTTTAATTCAACATTTTCATATTCTAATGTTTCAATACATCCATTTAAACGACTAATTGTTGTTGACCAACGTGTTTCACGTTGTTTTAAATCTTCTTGTAATGTTAATACCTATGGAAAACAAATAAAGATCAATAAAATGTTCGATTTGTTTTTTCTTTACTTGTTTTTTTAATGTTTCAATTTCTTCTCGTTGACGTTTACTTGGATGATCACGTAATTGTTGTCGATATTGTTCAAATAAACGTTTTTCATGTTGTTATTTTTTTATTTCTTCTTCTTTCATTTGATCAAATTCTTCCATTTCTTTTTATTTAGTTTTTTCAAATTCATCACGATTTCGTTTTAGTTTTTTTTAATAGCTAAATTACGTTCATTACAAAGAGATTATAATTTAACATTTTCTTTTTCAAAAAGTTCGATTTGTTTTTCAAGTTGTTTAGCTTTTTCATGAACTAAACGACTATAATCTTGATTAGATTCAGTTATAGGTAATGGAGGTGGAGGAGGAGAAGGAGCAGGAGCAACTGCTGATGCTGGTACTCTATGTCGTAAACCTGGAAATGTATTGAGCATTAAGGAATTAAGAGGTGGAGCAGTAACACGATCAGCCCAGGAATGATCATCACCAAAATCAGATGAACGAGCTGAACCTTTCTTTTGTTGATATTGTACTTATTTAGAAAAATCAGTTCTAAATGAACTAATACCACTATCACTATTATATTCATCAGCAACAACAGGAATAACTTTATCGACGCCAACATCATTCCATTTATGATCTTCATCATTGTCATCGTCATTATCACTTGTTATGGTTTTTGCAACTGTTAATTGTTCAATACGAGCATAAACTTTGCTTTTAAATGGAATGATTTTTCTTTGTCGAATGCGATTAGGACTTGCTGATAAATCATAAATTTCTTCATGTTTATTATCATTTTCTTCTTCATGATAATGAATTAATCGATTAACAAATATATCAGCTGTTTTAGATGATTGATGATCCTAAAATAAAGGATTTTTTGTTAAGAATATCGTATACGTAATTAATGACAGAAAATTATTACTTTAACAAAAATGACTTTATCAACATAAGATGCTATACTGATCATTGATGGATGTTTTTCATCATACTGTTCAAGTTTTTCAAAATCATCTAAATCCAAAATGAATACAAATAATAAATCAAAAAAAAAATTCTTTTCATACACTTCTTGGTTGAATTAATGAAACTTTTGATTGAATAGCACTACTACGACTTGAACTTCATCATCATCATCATTTTGTTCTTATTCTCCAGGATGAAATGATGTTTTATATATGCATTTCATTTCGTATTAATCATTGTTTGAATATTTAAATTCAATTTATTCATTGTTGATATAATTTCATCATTATTATTTGGAGTTTTTTTTTTTTTGATTGATATTTAATTAATAAATCATCTTCATCATTTAAATCAATTTTATCTAATAAATTACTTTGGGTTGAAATAGGAGGAACAGATGGTTTTATTGAATTTGAATTATTTATTTGTTTATTTAATTTTGTTTTTAATGATGAACGAGATGTTGTATGTATTTGTTGACATGATGATATAGATGCAGAGAATGAATTTGAACGAGTTCGTTGATTTGTTGTTGTTGCACAACAAGAATTACCACTTATACTACTAGCACTTGTTGGTCGTTTAACAATCTGAAGAACAAAATAAAAAAAAGTTACTCGATAGACAAACAATCATCTGAATAAAAAATATCTTCCAGTATTCTGATAGATTTTAAAAGAAACAATGCTACAGACCTTTACATTCTAACAAATTAAAAGTTTTTAGTTGAAATTCTATCGGTTACAATTGCTATTAAACTTCTTTGCTCTAGATTATTTAAATACACGAGACAAATGAATGTACGTGCAATATTAATTATGAAATTGATAAGTATTTCTTTTTATGAAAATAACTATCGATTTTTTTACTTCATTTTTTATGGGATTATTATTATTAGTATCGTTTATTTTTGGACATGTTTGATGACGTTTTAGTGTGTTCATTTTGCTATTGTTATTGATAATGTATTTATTTGTTCATGAATGGACTTTATCCGATCAAAAAGGAATAAACATTTCATTAAATTCTCTTGTTTTAGAATTGTTTAATAATAATAAATCTGTTTTATGTAATAAATCATTTATTTCTAATGATGATGTTGTTTGCATAGAATCAAGAATATTTCAACATGTTTGCAAAAATATTTGTAAGATTAATTAATGTATTTTCTCGATATCATTTTTAAAGCATTTTTTACATAAATAATAATCACAACATGGACATAAATTTAATAAATAAATTTCTTAACATTCTACATATTTTTCTTTAATATTATAATTAATTAGAACTAAATCAAATAATTGATTATGAATATATGATTTAGAAAATTGAATTGAATTATCATATGGAAATATATGACGACATATTGAACAAGTTATTATTGAACAAAGAATATTCGATGAAATAATTCTTTTAAGATATGAATAACAATATATATGTTGAAATGATAATGCACGTGGATTATGAAAACGATCAAGACATAGAGAATATTGAAGAATTTGTTCAATAGTTGTATAAGAATATCCTGATTTGGAAGAAGAATCAGTAGCAAATGATGGATTCTGGGTTAGAAAAAAGAAAAATTCGAATATTATGTTTTTCAATCTATTGATTTCATATGTCATCCACCCAAGAACAAAATGATTGGATCGAAAACGATCAGTTCTCAATAATTTATTAGAAGAAGTCATTCAGATTGAAAGTCAGTCTGAATACTGCTCAGAAATTGTATGGAATAGAGGAAAACAAACCACTATTAGTCTGACAGACTCATCCTCAAATAGTCCTGAGATTGGCTCTGCCTCATAGTATTTAAAAGTAGGACCCTGACAGATCGATCTGTTACAGCGAAAAAGATCTGATCTGTTAAGGTTCTATTTAAAAGAAAAAACTTACATACTGATTTAAATCAAATATCAAAACGAATTTATTTTATAACATAAAAGAAAGTGTATACTGACTCTAAAATCTTTAGAAATCTAAACTTGAACTTGGTAATATCAACTTTGGTTGAAAGACAAAATATCGACAAAGATTTCAGCATATTTTTTTTTACTGAATATTTGAAAAGATGAATAATTTAAGTTGAATGAAATTTTTTATTTTTTAGAAAAAACATAGATAAAAATGATTCACCCAATCCGACCCAATCTGAACTTAGATTTCAATTGCATTTCTGTATCCTTTTATTTTAATTAGAAGAGTTTTCTATGATTATCCGTAAAAGCATTCAATTAAATTTCCTTTATAGTCACTTTATTTAAATTTCCAGAAAAGTAGAATTTACCATCGCATGCTTTTTAGATGAGCTGAAAGTGTTTCAAAAGTAAAAAGCAACAATGTTCAATTTATATATTGATCTTTCTTTTTCTTAATAATATTTAGGAGAAAAATTTTTCTATCACTAATTTAACAATAGAGAGTAAAAGATTTCTATCAAGAAAATGCACATTTTTTTTCCGAAAAGATCACCAAACAATATCCTCGTTTCGATAAAACTCTACTTGGTTTTTTCCTTGTGTTTTTGAAAGAAAATATTTGATAAACTACTAATTTTTTTAAAAACTTCTACTTTTGGAAATTTGAATTGGGCAAGCTTGATTAGATATTATATTCGATTTATTAAAAATTAATCCAAAATAAAAACATGAAACTATCACCAACTAGACGATTGATTTGCTCTTACATTTGATACATTGACAAGAGCCATCCTATATTCATTCACAGAACATAAGAGACGAAAAAGATATGCTTCACAATCATGTAGAAAACAGTCAGGTTCACTTTCAATATATCGCATTGTAATGAACAACGGTAACTTGAGACATAGTACAAAAATATATAATGATGGAAGTTCAATAATAGAGTTATTATTCAATCCGACATAGTATATAAATATAATCATGAAAAAACTATATGGAGCTAATGTAGCTTCAATTAACCATCGAATCAAGACTACATTTGTAATAATGGGGTTGGTATTCGTCAAACCGAGTTGTACGTAGAAAAATGCAGCATTTATATAAACGATTATCAATATCATTTCTTGTTTTATTAAACGAATTATGTACCAATATCTTTCATCATGTTCATATCTGATTATCCAACTGTTTTCTCTATTAAGATTGAATTGAATCAAATCAAAACGGGTGAAGAATGAGGCAAAAAAAAGTATTGGTATTAAGATCGTTAACATGAAATATCCTTGTACATAAGTTGTAAGGATGACATGATCGAAAAGCCAAATTTGTACATTACCAATGCATGATAATTTTTTCTGGTCGGTTAATGCTGATGTATTCATCGATCTGAGTAGAATTTCAATATTTGAGACCATTGATTATATTTCTTTATTAATAGTTATTGATGTGACATAATATATTCCACTAATATATAAAATACACGATGTCTATAAATGTTTATATGTCACGTTCAATTTTTTCTTTCTTTTATCGATACTGGTCACTCGTTGAATGATAGGCTAAGGTTATTCGCCGTTCATCTATTTATTACGTTCAATTCCGACTGGTCATGTTTTTTTTCTCTCGTATCAATAGGTTAAGATAAGCTACGTACACACACTAGATACAATAGTGTGTGTAGCTTATCCTTGTCGATTTCAACCAATCAAGTTATATTCCATGTTTCACGTAAAAAATTTTAAATGACTTTCTTCTAATTAAAAATCGATAAAAATGGCAATATTGTACTTTTATCAAAATTAGATCATTTGCCGTTTAATCGATTAATACGATAAAGGTCATAAAACGTTGTTTTCCTCGAGTTCAATTTAGAGTCTATCTTTTTTTGTCATTTTTCTGACTTCGCAGCGTAGCCAGTCAAGTGTATCAGAATAAGTTAGACTTTGGTACGCATATCAGAATTTGAGATGGGATATCAATAAATATTGATTCATTTAAGAAAAACTTTCGATAAGTTAAATGGAAAATGATTATTTCATGATTAAATATCCATTAAAATGGTGCTATCTGGATTCGATTAACATCTGATTTGTCAAATTTAAAGATAGATCCGATTTTATGTTAATCTTCCTTAATTAGTTTCTAAAAACTAATATGAATCAATAAAAATTTATTTATTTATTATAAACTTCTTTAAAAGGGACTAAAATCAATTGAAATCTAGTTTTAAATTAAAAAAGTGGCTTTCATTCAAAATGAAACATTGTCATCTTGATCGATTTTGAAGGAAAAAACAATCGATCTAATTCTGAGTTTTCTTCAAAATTTTGTACGTGGCTTATACACCACGTAACTGCTAACAATTCAGAAGCTTTTTTATACGAACCCTTTGAAAATTTCATCTAGGCAATAAATGAAAACAAAACATTTATTTAGTTTGATGACACTCGTTCAAACAGAAACCCCAGTGAACTATCAACTACATTAAGCAACATGGACATTTCTCAAGTAGAACAATGCTAAACATATACTAAAATTAACAGTGGGGAATCTCATGATGAGAGTGCCTTTACTATGTTTGAATTTATTTTTAGCAGATAAGTACAATTCGAAATGTTTATATAGAGTTGTAGAGAATTCTTCGGGCTATCCGAATATCTATTTATTTTTCCCAAAATGTTAATTTATAGTAATGATTTGTGGGAAATACTGTGTCCAACTATTTTTTGCCAGGGAGATATATCAACATAAAATTGTTAGGTCCTTATGTAAAGTTTTGGAGCTATCAGTCAGTCTTTCAGAGATTTGCTAAAGAGTGGGCCTGGGAAAAATTCGTCGAACGTTTTATCCGGTAGAAAAAAGATGCGCTGTCATCGCAGCTATCTACTGGTGAAAACCGCAGGTCTCTATCTCGTTTTGTTCTCAAGATATTCAAAAAATAGTCACACCCACGAACTTTTTAGATGAACTATAGATATAAAGAAAAAAAATATCTTAAAACAAAAAGGAACTAAAATCTAATATATTTTTTGGTATTGAAAAAAAGAACCAATCTTTTATCTTAAATTTTAGCTCGTATTACAACATATTCAAAATTAAGTGTAAGACGCCATAATTGTTCATGTTCTGGTAAATTATTATTTTCACTATTTTGTTCTTTTGGTGCAGATGGTAACAGTGTTTTAACTATATCTACTACATCTTTGCACAACCCTATGAAATTGTTATACCTGAACCAGAATGATCATAACAATGAACAACATTAATACCGTCAGCTGTTTTTTTTTCATGTTCACGACATACACCATCATCTCGATAAAGTCTTAAACCAACTTGTACTTTACCATGACGAATATGTTCAGGAGCAGGTAAACATTTAGAACATATACAAAGAACATTTTTAGTATCGTTTTCATCTATTATTGTGTTCCAATTATTTACTTGAAATGTTCCACCTAAGACAACAGAATTGAAGTGTGGAATTATATATCCAAAACCATCATCGGTATCAAATTCATAAACTGATTTTTTCCATGCTGCATGAACTTGAATGATCTCTATGATTAAATAATTGACAAAAAATAAAATACAAATTAATCTTACTTGTCCACGTGCTAGTCAAACTGTTAAATCTCCAACTAAATCTCGTGAAGCTAAACCAGTACAATTAATAACAATATCAGCTTTATCTTTTAATTCAATAAGTGAATAAATTTTTCTTTTAATAAATTTTACTTGAGAATCTTGTAGAAGATAACATTGTAATGGTGATAAATAACGACTAATTTCAATAGTTATTGATGACATTGAAAAACCTACTACTATATAGCCATCTTAATAATGGTAAGTATTCATTATCATCATCAATTTTTGTTCGTCTTTTATAAAATTTTCTGAATCAAAAAATCAGACAATCAAGATACAATCAATCTTCTTCATCATCCACTAATTTTCCATTCAGAGTGTGCAAACTTATTTGCCAACGGATTACCAGTTACTACCTTCATCCTCGAAGGTTACATGAGACTGGAGCCACTTCTATATTCATGTACAATCGAATTTAGTCTCATATGTCTCACAGTAAGTTTTCCTTGTTTCTAGCTCATTCCTATGCATTCCAACTGATTTTACATAGCTGTTCTTTCTCATTTGGAAAAATATCAAGAAAACATTTACGCATAAAGAATTGACAAAAAATATTTTCATGGTCAATTGTCATGCATCCATCAAAGGTCTTTTTGTTGGAATGATTGTTTTCTCCTGTACAATGATTTCTATTATTCTCTATATTGCTTTTCGATACAAAACCGATGATAATATCCATTTGATACCGTCCTGGTTGATTGAGACAGTCTACAATCATCTGCATGCTAATCTTACAAGTATAGCAATAATATCACATCGACAATATTCAATATCAAAAACTCCGAAAACGATAGATTACAGCATAGCCATCCTTGAAATATGGAATTTGTGTTGGTTGACTCTTTTGCTATGTACTACCATATGTTCATTAATCAAAATTCACAAGTTGAACTGTTGTCGAACGACGACACGTAAGCGACAGAAGAGAAAAAAACACACATTGCGATATATGACTCTATCCAATAGGTTTCGATGATGTTCTCATCATTGTCTCATTAACAGGCATCTATTTGTATTCAATCTTCAGTGCTTTCGCTATCATTAGTAACTTGAATTCATCAACATGGATCGCCTATGTTAAAGTAGCAATCATTATTTTAGGTACGATATGTGTTAGACTAGAGGATTGAGATTAGTTATGTGATATGCTGTACTGATCTTTGAGTCGGTTCAGTTTGCCACTGGAATAATGTAGATCTTATTGATGATTTTGTCTCTTGTAGAATTCATCGAAGGTACCATTCACGCATTGTTCATTCTCATTGCACTGCGCAAACGTCAGAGATGAACGAGTAAATATGAATATTCAGCGCGCCAAATGATCATTCTACTGATCATGCTTGATCTGAGTCTCTGGTTCGAAAAAAACAATGACAACGACTAAACATGAAGCAAATACATTTCAACTAGCCTTCTATCATATCATTCCATGGTCGATTATTGCTGCAATTGCTACACCACTTCAAATCCTTTTTCGTTTTCATGCATCTGTCTGTCTTTCCCATGTATGGACAAATATGTACCATTTGCCGACCTATGAACTAATGACTTCTCGTGATTTCTGATCTTTTCTTTTTTTTTTTATATGCCATTGTATTGTATCTCTTTTGCATGGCAAATATGAATGCATGCTTGACATAGATGTAGAATGAACTTCGTTGGTCTTTTTCAAGGCATCAGCATCATCGATTACTCATATCAGACGAAACTTCTTTATCATTTTCCACTCTACAAGAGCGGCCAATGGTCGGTTTCAACTCAGCTGACAAGAAAGTCTCATCAGATGGCTTGAATTTGAATGCTCTCATCAAAAGAGTAAAGCTTTATGTTAGATTAAGACTTTTTGATTGAAGTGAATCACAGGACTTAACAGAGTCCTCTGCCACATATACTACTACTTAATTTTTCAGTCTTATTGTTTTTTTTTATTGATTGTAGAAGTATTATATGAAGTGGCACAGCCAGGGTTTTGATGGGGGAGAGGAGGTAGACTTAGCTGGCGAGATGATGTCCGATGAGGACTCACTATCACCCCTTCTGGTGGACAGCCAGCCGGCAAGATCGACTTCCGAGAGTTCGATTCAAATGATAGTGAGTGTTAATGCTGCTATGTTGATTGATATAAGAGTGTTGCAGTATTGTTTGTCTAGATGTGATCAGGTCATAGATGATGGTAATTTTCTCTCTGGTATATAAGATCGTGTCCTGTATAAAGTAGACACAACTGTAATAGTGTTGCGAACATCTATACTGAGAGTAAAACGATTCTGCCAGTTTGTCATTATCGATCATAATAAAATATACAGTCTCTGTCTCTCCTTATCATTTTTGTTATATCTGAGAAGATGAAAGGTCAAATGATTAAAAATAGACTCGTGTCTAAATCATATAATTATAATGAGTGAAGGTTTATTTTACAAATGCATCAACTGAAACTCTAGATTAATTCTATAGTATTGTTAGTCAGAGAAAAGAGGAGCAAAGCGTAATATTGGTTCAGCATAGTTTTTTCGCATCCATGGGATAGTATACAGGGTGTGAGTGTGAGGTGTAGGTGTGAGTGAGAGTGTTCTTACCCGCTAGATCCACATGCACACCCACACTGATATCCACACCCCACACCCACACCCAAGTGACTTTTACTTGTGGTAATGCATCAATTTGACATTCCATTTTTCCAGTATCAGTTTGATTAACTCTAATTGTTTGTAGTTTTTTAATAAATGTT